TCCGAATAAAGTGTACAGTCTGTTTAACAGTATAGTATTATGGTATACAACACTACATTGTATACTACACCATATAACATATTGACTGTGTTAATATAACATATAATATGCTGTCATATACCCATAGTATATGACAGATGTTAGCTTCTTAGTTTTGGTAACTGAAGCCTGGTTATGTCATATGCTAAAATCAGAGAAAGCTGGATAAAGAGTATCTAGAATTCTTTACTACTTTCACAACTCTTCTGTAACCTAAAATTATTTAAAAATAAAAAATTAAGAACTATACATTAAAAATATATTATTTATTTTTGCACATATATATTGGGGAAAAAATTATACTCCAGAATGTTAACATTTTGGGTGGCACAATTAGTGATGATTAAATTTTTAGCTTATGTTTTCTAATGTGCGTGTATAATTAGCATGTTTCACATGTGTAATAAAAACAAAAGTAGGGGGCACCTGGGTGGCTTCGTCAGTTAAGCGTCAGACTTCAGCTCAGGTCATGATCTCATGGTTCATGAGTTCAAGACCTGCATTGGGCTCTGTGCTGACAGCTTGGAGCCTGGAGCCTGGAGCTTGGAGCTTGGAGCCTGCTTTGGATTCTATGTCTCCCTCCCTCTCTCTGCCCCTCCGTTGCTGGTGCTCTATCTCTCTCTCTCTCTCTCTCTCTCTCTCTCGAAAATAAACATTAAAAAAAAATAAAAACAAACAAACTCGCCCCCACCACCCAAACAAAGTGGGATTATACATACTCTCTGGTAACCTGCTTTTTTCCACTATGAACATCTTCCTATCTCAATAAAAATGCCATCTATATATTCTTAAATTTTTTTTTTTAAGTTTATTTGAAAGAAAGTGTGCACGCGTGAGAGAGCGTGAGTATGAGTGCGGGAGGGGCAGAGAGAGAGAGAATCCCAAGCAATCGCCAAGCTAGAAGCATGGAGCCGGATGCGGGGGCTGATCTCATGAACTGTGAGATCATGATCATGAAACCAAGAGACGCTTAAGTGACTGAGCCACCCAGGCGCTCCCCTCCCCCCATCTCTATTCATTCTTAAAGGTTGATTGTATGTGGCTGAATGTGTACAATGTGTACAATGAACATGCCTTAATTTACATGGCATACCCTTCAATTGTCTGGAATTTTTCCAAAACTATTTTTTTTTTTTTTACCTCATTTCTAATTCATTTTCTATGAATTTGCCTATTCATATCCTTAACTCTCTTCTGACTTGTCAAATGTTCCTAGTTTGTTTGCTTTGCTACTGTATCTTTTGCTTGGCTAAACAGGGGTTTTATATTTTCATACATGTAGTCAAACCTATGTAACCTTTACGTTTATTACTTCTGCCTTTAGGAAATCTATTAAAATCCTCCTGCATTCTAAAATTATACAACAAGGATAGTGAATTGTATTACTGTCATAATTTTTTACTCCTCCCTCCCCAAGCGAAGAATACACAAGTGGATGCCATGTTCACCCCCAGCAAGCAGATGATTTAAAAAACATTGCCTTTTCCCCTTTGCTACACAAGTGACATGCTTTGTCAGAAAAGGTGCTTCTCCTTTAGTTGGGAGCATGTGGAAGAGGGCCAAGCAGCTGGCTAGCAGCTGTCAAATGTAATGTGAGGAAGAGGCTTTGTTGTTCTCAGACACTGAGATTTGGGGTTTTTTGTTATTGTTACTGCAGCAACAAAAAGTAAAATAATAACCATCTGTCTTTTCTTTTAGACTTCTTATCACTTATCTTCATTTTTGAGTAAATGGTAACTTGGACGGTGTAGAATTTAGGGAATGACAACTCTTCTCATCAAAGTTCAATTTAAGACAGGCTGTGTTTGAGGTACATAAGGGACATTCATCCTAGGGAGTATGCTCAGGACAGCGCTCCTCTAACTTTTCCACCGAAGTACCCTTAATGGGCAGAGCAAACTAAAAATGGGGATTCTGGGGACACAAGCCAAAATACCACTGCTGGTGTGAATTTCTTTTAAATTTCTTACCTTACAAATGTTTATTTTGCTCAAATTTTTGTGAACTAAACATCGGAGGAAATCATTCCAAGTTTACTTCTTGGGGCTACGTATATCTCAGCACACTGGCATGTGCTCTGGTTTGAGAGGCACAGCAGGAGAGAGCTGCAGGCTGGAATCCGAGAAGCACCATGCCCACAGGCTTTCGCGCCAGACATAATAGGCTCAAATCTCAGCTCTACCAAGTTTTCTGCTTTTTTTTTTTTTTTTTTAAAGATTTTATTTTTAAGCAATCTCCACACCCAATGTGGGGCTTGAACTCACACCCCCAAGATGAAAAAGAGTCGCATGCTTTACTGACTGAGCCAGCCAGGCACCCCTGCACCAATTTCTTGAAAGGTGTGACCTTGGCAAGACAGTTAACTTCTCTCTGAAGTATAGCTCCTCTGTGAAGTGGAGATAAGCTTCTACTCATTGTAGGTAGAACTAATATGTAAAGAAACTAGGTACAGTGTCCAGCATAAACTGGCCCCTAATATTAAAAGTACCTCAGGAAAAAGGTCAAAGCCAAAATATAGAATCAGGAGACAGCAACATATAGGTGATACCTGAAATAAATACACGGGTATAAATGAACGTCTCAAGGGAAAACTTCAAAAGTAGTCAGAAAACCAGGTGAATAAACCAAAGAAGAGTTCAGGAGAAAAAGTAGATAGACAAAAATGTCAAATATTCCATAAAGGTAAAATGAAAAGAGAATACTAGATTGCCAAGTGAGAAGGAATCTGTATCTTTTAAAGACAGAAGAGTGGTGTGGTGGTCACAGAAACCACATTCTAATGAATGGAAGTTGGAAAAGTAGCAGCAGCAGTAACATGGGAATAAAGGGAAAAGGGAACCACAGCAGAGTCAATGGGAAGTTTCCTTATAGTGAAACTAAATCCAAGACAAAGTATTTTATTAAAGAGTCCGTGGTAAGTCAGGTAGCTTCCCTGAAGATCTCAGGCCAGCAAAGGTTGTTAGGAACTGCAGCTATGTATGCCCTGTCCCTAACTTGGGGTGTATGTATATGGGGGGAGGGGAGGGGGTGGGAGAGGAAGGGGCGAGACATAAATTACATGGATAAAAAAGGAAATTTAGTCTGCCAGCCAAATTAACAAGTTTTCATACATAGGCAGCTCTCTGCTATATACAAGAGAGCAGACAAGAAGCTATACGGTGCTGCCTCCTTACCCACTGATTACACCGCCTCTTAGTCTTTTCTATATACAGGGAAACATTTCTGGCCCACAGAGCCCAACTACATAGACACAACATGAAGTCCTTCTGTTGTTTTTATCATCAAGAGGGTTTATCTTCCATCGGATTGCTCTACTGTGTCTTGATTAGAACTGGTTTCTTTACTAAGCGCTACTGTTTTAAATTTTACAACCTGGCCTTTACTAAAGACTTCTTAATCGGACTTACTTCAAATTTTTGAAAGGGTTAAACATTTCTTTACAAACATTTTAAAACTGAAAAGATTTAAATACAAAGTTTAATTTATATTTTAAAATATATTTAAATGAATGCAACTTTTAATGCTTCTAATTCCTAAGGAAAATCACAGACTGATGGAGCACAAATAAAATAAGCCACTTGGCATATTTTGAACTCTTTTCCTAATATCCCAGAAAAAGCCCTGCCATTTCTCATAGCTTAGATGTAATTTACTAACACTCTATAACAGCTAAGAATATTTTAGGAACAAAAGAGGTTGAACTGAACAGAAACAGGAAACTTCATAAAAACAAATATTTCGAGGGGTGCCTGAGTGGCTCAGTCAATTAAGTGTTGACTCTTGGTTTCAGCTCAGGTCGTGATCTTATGGTTCGTGAGATTGAGCCCAGCATCAGGCTCTGCGCTTGACAGTGTGGAGCCTGCTTGGGATTCTCTCCCTCTCTCTCTCTCTCAAAATAAATAAATAAATAAGTAAATAAACATTAAAAAAAAAATTTCAACTGAACATTGCAGTTACAAAGTGCCTTTAGAGGAATAGGATACTTGTCCCATAGAGCAGCCCTTTGTAAAACGAGATTCCACCACCTGCCCAAAGAAGAAAACTGCAGCTGAGAGGGTTAATGTATTCTTCCAAAGTCACAGCAAAAAGGGCAGTCCAGGACTTGCATCCAGACAATCTAAATTCAATCTCTACATTTCTTTTATCTCATCACAGTGTTTGAAAAATCTTGGGATGAACAGCAGAGGAATATTTTCGCCAATATCAAATGTTTCGATCTTTATATATACCTTTATTTTCATTCTCTTTGCTTTGTCTTAAAGTCATTTCCATATTAAATCCTAAGCTAAATAAATAAAAAATACTAAAGTAAATATAATAAAAACATCTTACTGTTTTTTTATTGACAAAACTACTTACAGCTATGAATTTACTTTATGAGAATTACTTTACCCACATTTCATAGATTCTGATACGTAGCAATTTCATTGTTGAAGACTAACTCTAAGATTTTATCTAAGAACAAGGTATTAGAATTAATCTATTTCTGAAGAAACCTTTAGGTGTTAAACTGTTAATTTTCAATAAAGATGGTATACATTAAAACAGTGGCCATCATACATTTACTTTATTACAAGTAACTTACTATAAATGAAACAATTTTAATATCCAGACTTGAACCTCTTGATCTTCTCGAATAAGACTTGTCATGAAAAGAAACAATATTTAAATAACCTAGCTAGTTGGTTAGAGCACAGTGAAAATATAGCAGAGTTGTGTATTAAATCTCTCATGGAGAAATTACACAAAAGAAAACCATGAGTAAAGACTGACCCATAGTCCCATTAACCATTTCGTAAGTGCTACTTATTAAATAAAGAAGTTTCAGCAACATCCATCAATTCTCCCAGAAAAAAAGCTCAACACCAAGATCATGTTCTCAGCAGACTTAAAGACACACGTCTGGTGGAATCTGAAGACGACCTGATCTCCCACAATCTGAGTAAATGCACTGTATGTACCTGTTCTTCATGAGGCGAACCTCTCTCTTTCGTGCTGCTTCTTCAGCAGGCTGTGTAGGAAGTGCTGGGGAGGATGCCATAACAACTCCGGGGGCAATGGTGCTAGTGGGTGCTGTGCGAATCTGGTATGTCTGTACATCTCCAGAGGCAGCTGAGAAGAAAAACCGTGAACATGGTGTAAAGACACTGAAGCACCGTGACTTGGTAAAACTACGCTGTGTCAATCATCAATCTAAACATACATTTTGGATTGCAAGGGAAAAAAAAAGAAGGAATGTGATTGTAACTAAAACATTGAACTAATCAGCCCTCTTTGGGTCATTACTGACAAATAATTTCCAATTTAATGTATTTATTAGTATAGACACGTGGGTGAAAGAGGCCTTCACCTATGTCTTCTGGGTCTTGTATTTATCTTTCATTGGAATGCAGTTCTATTCTGCTAACATGCTTACCAACCTTAAGTCTAAAAGGTAAGTAGGGCACAGCTTGGATGATCTTCCTAGATAGAGTATACTCCTCAATGTCTTCCTTTGATATTGGTAAATTCATATTAAAAAATTTCAAGTAGACTCTTGCCACGACATAAAAACGACCATGATTTTTCATAAAATAGCAAAATGGAAGAGAAAATAAAGCATTATGGTCAACTATTATAAATTTCTAATTGAAACAAAACTGTAAGTATGAAAACGTGTACCACGTGATGCCAATTATATTACTTGTTTTAATGTAAATGCTAATGGCTAAATAAACCGAAGTTTATTTTTCTACCTAAATGATCTATCACTTGTGAAAAGAAACACAACCATTATTTGTCAAACTGTTTCTAGAAACAGCTTAGGAATATGCCCTCCTAAGAATAAAGAACCTAACACTATCTGAGAGAATTTAAAGGTCTGTATAAAATTAGCCATGTTAGTCATTAATTTCAATTAAAATGTGTAGTCTGAGTGGAAAAGATTTATATACTAAACATGTTACCATCTTCAAACTGACGTTCAGAATTCAAATTCACTGACATCCTGCTTTACAATTTTTGAGTACCTGCATGTAAAGTGAAAAGGTGTTTTACTCCCATTAATAAACAAAATATTATCTTCTTCAAATATTATTTGTTTAGTAATAGAATATATTCTGTAAATACATTAGGGCCTTTTAAATAAATGATGACTCTCTAGTTGGGTGTTTTAGGATTATTCAAAAATTATCATCTATGGTGAAGGGGTAAGATGGTCACTGCCTAACAGAGGCAAAATATATTATTATTAATAAAAATATTTTTAGAAACAGATTTTAAAAGTATTTCCTCAACATGCAAGTTTCAATCTGGCATAAATCATACTCTTAAAATATTCAAATAGATTCAAAGAAAAACGGTCAACTCCTATCCGTAAAGATTCCTAAGACCAGTAAATTATTTAATTTAAAAACTAAAACAAAGCAAAAAAAGCTATTTCTACAGTCATCAAGGATTTAACTACTACTTCTTCTCTATAGACCAGTAGACTTACAAACTGGTATAAGATATTTCAGAACATACTGCTTTCATTTGAAATAAAAAATGATGATCTTAGAAATTAGGATGTCAATTTCTTGAGTAAGAAGTAGAGAAACAGATTATTTAGTAAGTTCTATACCCAATGTGGGGCTTGAACTCACAATCCTGAGATCAAGACTGCATGCTCTACCAACTGAGGCAGCAAGGTGCTTGGAACCTCTGATGATTCTTAGCAGTGATTTAATAAAACTCTTATTTGACACATGAATAAAAATGAGGCCCAGAGAGGTGAGTCCTACTCAAGATCACACAGCAAAACTATGCAGTTAGATCTAGAATCTAGCTTTCCTAACTCCTGATTTCACTATCTTTCCTTTTCCTTGTAACCTACCCTTGTTTCTCCTATCCGGATCCAAATGCTGGAAGTGTTAAAGAGGTTATATTTTTTAAACTGAAAATAGTTGTTTTTATGCCATGACATTTGGGTCCAACTGGAAAAATAGAAGAGTTTATGGAGAACATTATCTATAATGAAAACAAAATTAACTACATTTTCACAATGCTCTGCAGTATCATACTTACTTTATCTGAGTTTATAAAATTTTTACCCTTTCAAAGAATTTACCACACCTATGAATTCTGAATTCTCTTACCTTGAACAACAACTTGGTTGCTGGGCACTAAGATCTGCTGTCCGTCAGTGGTCTGTGCGTACTGTAGAATGGTAGTGCCCGGCTGAGTGGCAGCTGCATTGGTCATGGTTAATGTTTGCAGGCCCTGTACCCCATCGGTACCATTGTTAGCCAGCTGTATTGCTCCTCCCTGGGTAATGGCAACTAAAACCCAATGGATTTTATGGTTATCAGTTTAATTAATACCATATCAAACTTTTACAACACACTACATTCAGTAGAATAATGTGTAAGACCTGATCTAGGAGAAGTTATTATAGCAAATGACATGGCCAAGAAGGATTTGGTAGGATTTGGTAGACTCAAGTAACTTTCTGCTCAGGAGACCCATATCCTATTGCTAGAATATAAATGCACTCTATGAACCATATTGTAATTTATAGTAACACCTGTTAATAATTTTTTTAAAAATCAATGAAAAAATGTTAAATTCCTTTGTAAGTGGTTGGTTCAGAGGAGGTACCACTTTGTGATCCATATTTCCTTTATTCTAGTCTTAATTACGCAATATCTTAATTGTTTAATATTCGCTATCCCACTAGAAAGTAAATTTCTTGAAGGCAGAAAATGTGATTTTTCTTCTCTATTTTCACATAGTTAGCAAAGAAATGGGCAGTAATAGGCACCCAATAAATGGCTGTTTTAATACACAATTAATAAAGCAGTTCAGTAGCGCATTCTGTTCTCTAACTCAGTTAGCAATGCTTAAACTGTAACAAACGTCCACTCAGCGAAACTGATACATCCTGTGAGACTCATTTATCATAGAGTATCTCGCAAAGTTAAAAATTAGTGCTCAAGATCAATCATTTAGAAAAACTATTTAACTGCTATTTCTGTTACATATTCAAGCATCTCATACAGGATCCTTTGATTATTCACTAATTAACCACACTTGTCATTCACCTGTTATGAAGTAATCAACTATGGCTCATACTAAAAGATATTTCACTTTATTAAAAAAAAATGAATTCACCTTCATACTACAGTAGATGGAAAAGTTAAGAGAAAGAGGTAGGTTATTATTTTATTTGAACAAAGCAATCCTTTAGCTACCAGCATTAAGTTGGTGGTTGGATCCTCTCGAGATACTCTCCCTCTTAAAAGTTTTCCAGAAAGAGGACTAAAATCACAATATTACATATAAAATTGCATAATGGATTTTAACTGAATAAGTCAACATGTCTGACTTATGCATTTTACTTTTTTGTCTGTTAGAAGGGAGTTATTTGGGATCAATTATCTGCCAGCTCTAAGAAACTAATATGCTGAGTCATCTGTATGAGCAACATTGATTAACTACTGTTCAGTCAAGAAATAATAACAGTAAGTAGCTATGATTTGCTTTAGCAAATGATAAATGATACCTATTGGAAATTAAGATACTGGCATTTATAATCCATCTACTTTAGCTAAGTCTGTAAGTTTTACTTCTCTTAGGCAATTAAAAAAAAAGGAATATGTAAGAACTGTATTGAGATTAAAATGGCAGGTAACTTGAAAGAATCAGAAGGGGAACAATCAAACCACAATTTCTTCTTGGCTACATACCAATGAACTCAAGGTGGGAGAAAAGAAGTAGGAAACTAGGTATCAGCAGATCTGAGTTCTAGTCCAGGTTCCATCAGTACACTGTTATTTGAATCTGTCATCTCTTCTGTAAAAATATCCGGTTCTAGCCATACTAACTACAACTATAAAAATCAAATGAAGTCATATATATGAAAGTACTCTGAAAACAAAAGTCTGATCCTATCAGACATGTTTTTCTCTGTACTATTTATTTATATACTTGATTATACCAAAAGGATTTGGGATGGCTTTCAATAAAACTAAATTCATTAAAACAAGAAGAAAAAGATAGAAGTCAAGTAACTGATGTGTCTCTACCACAGAGATTCTACCAGAAAATCTAGAGGAAGAATACAATTAAACATAAACTCAGCTGAGATTCTGAGTAAAGTGAACATGAGGAAAACATCATAGGTTATAGTTGTATTTAGTGAAACAAAAGATTCAAGTTCCAAATGATAGACACTTGTGTTTCTAACTTAGAACTCCTCAAAAAAGACTTTATTTTACTAGGAACAGTGAACAAAGTAATGGATAAAACTACTAACAACATTAATAAAAAAAAAAAAAACAAAAAAACAATATATGGAAGGAATACAAACTGGTGCAGCCACTGGGAAGGGAAATTGGGCAGGATGTGCTTTGATTCAACAATTGCACTCTTTTAAAAAAAATTTTTTTTTAATGTTTATTTATTTTTGAGAGGGAGAGATAGCATAATATGGGGCTCAAACCGAGAGATCATGATCTGAGCCTAAGTTAGACACTTAACTGACTATGCCATCCAAGTGCCCCAACAATTCCACTCTTTGGATGCTATCCCACTGAAACCTTATCACATATATAAGAATGTTCATGTCTTACTGTTTAAAACAATAGAAATGTCCTAAATGTTTACCAATGTGTGTGTGTACGTATTATGTGTGTGTGTGTGGGGGGGGGGGGGGGATGTTTAAATAAAAGTTACATTTATATAGTGAAACACAATGTAGCTGTTGGAAGAAATTATATATATAGTACATAAGTAATGTAAGTCTCACTTGTATAAAAATACTGTACATGGTAACATATTTATGTATAAATAAAATGAAAAAGAATGGACAGATATATACCAAACTCTTACTACTGGGGAGAGATGAAAAGGATTAAGTTAAGAAACATATAAATGTTGTATATGTGTCAAGAACATAATGTTAAATCAATTCCACCAAGGAAATAGGTGTATACTCTAAGAGAATAATGGATAATGCAATAAAATTTTAAAAATCTCAAAGTATGAACTTTCTAAAACTAGGAATTTTCAGTTGCTGGGACAGAGTGGTATGCCAAATTAAACATCTACATTTCTGAATTTGCCTTCCCTATTTGAGATTCTATATGCCTTTTCTCTAAAGAACATGCTTTCTAGTTCAAGTGAGATTCCCTGCACAACTGAATTACTAACAGGAGTGTGGTGTATCCCTCAGGTTTCTGTTGAAGTACAGAGAAAAGTAAATGTCATATATCAATGTCTCAGAACACACATCTTGAATACTTCAAATTATTTGGATATAAGGGTTACAAAACCCACATACATGTATATAGATGGTACCTGTTTGTCTCCACCAACAAAGAACTCAAGAAGGAAAAAAGGTGACTGAACTCCAGTAAGCACAGTGTGAACAAGAAGCTTAGTCAAAAAAATGCTTTCCTTCTACTCACTTTCAAAAGTTTCAGCTTCAGGACAGCTAAAAAGTCTGCTACTTAGGAATCTGTTTTTAATACAGTTGGAATGCAAATTAGTTATGTAAACAAAGGCTGAACTATACAAAAACTATTAATTTGGGACTCAAACTTTTATACACATTCCTGACACAGACCACCCCTGGGCATTAGAAAATTAATGCAACAAGGGAGTGTCAATGAGTACATTTAATTTGCAATAAGGAAGAAAGGGGGGGAAACTACATAATGGCAAGCAATAGATTTTTTTCAACTTTATTTTGAGACAGAAACAACATGTGTGGTAGGGGTAGAGAGAGAGAATCCCAAGCAGACTCCGCACTGTGAGTGTGAAGCCCAATGCGGGGCTCAGACTCACAAACCGTGAGGTCATGACCTGAGCTGAAATCAGGAGTTGGATGCTTAACCGACTGAGCCACCCAGGTGCCCTTAGGAAGTACTGGATTTAATGAACACATCAAAATGAAGAAATCTACGTGTGAGGCACTTAAGGAGGCAAAAGATACTGGGAAAAGACAGAAAAACACACCAGTCACACAAATGCCCCTGATCAAACAAAAGCAGAGCTCAAAAGTACTCTGTAACAGATTTGGGTGAAAGATAAGGAGAGAGACCTAAGTGTCAGATAGAGACATGACAGAAATGGAAACTTTGATAATTTTTCAATAGAAATCTTTGCCTTCTCTGAGCCCAAAGGCCAACTGTGCTCTAATTTTGGCAGTCCTTATGTTTATGCTATCATAATTCACTATCTTACCTTTTACATTAAAAAGAATAATGATTTGAATGTGTTGGTAGACTATAACCAAGCCTGTCGACATCCACCACAAAACATTACATACGATTTTAAAATGCTACTTTTAGAACGGAAAGTGAATAAAAATAAACCGTTTTATCCTTAAACATAATCAGAGAATGGTTATCTTATCTGAAAAAGTATGTCCTCTATGACCATCGTATATCACACGAGGACTACAATCTAGAGCTCCAAGCAGCGATTCAAAAAACTTTCAAGACTCTCCCAGTGTCTGCACAAAACAAAGGACCACCTAAAGGGCTAAAGTGCTTGAGTCATCCCAACAAAAACCCCGAAGAAAAGAAAATACTTGTGTTCCAGAAGTCTGCACAGTGAACAGTAAAGGAAGTGTAATTGATCACATCCAAGACTGAGGAAAGAGTTGGTACTTGCAGGATTCCTTTAAGGAGAATGCAGCCATTAGTGTGTTGGTCTCACTTTCCAAAGCAGAAATATCTTCTACTCACTGTACTGTCCGCTGCTCGTTTGGTAAATCGGAGTTGGCACCGTTACGGTGGTGATGGCAGGTGCTGAGGTCTCCTCTTCAGACTTCTCTTCTTCAATCCTTGGCACTCCTGGTGCATCTGAAGACAAGTCATTCAAAATTTTCCTAGAAAAAGAGAGAACTGTATTAACTAAAATAAAAGTAACATTTACTGGCTAAATACAAATAACAGGAAAGGAAAATGAGTGGAAAGTTGCTCGTGCTTAGGACAGCAGTTTAAAATGTAAGAACAAGAATAAACCATAAACGGATGAGGAATCAATGTGTCAAAATGAAATCATACAAGGACTAGAAAAAACGATGAATTTCTCTTTAATTTGAATGTAAAGGGAAGCAATCATTCAAAATCTAGGTGTAAGCAGAGGTTAATAAACTTGATTACAGAAAAAAAACGCACAAAAAAACAAAACAAAATAACCTTTTGTAGGGCAAAGAACACCAAAACCAAAGTCAAGAGATGATCAACAACACTAAGAAAGAAATGTTTACATATATTACAGATGAAGGAGCAATAGCCCCAATATATAAAGAACTCTTAAAAATTTAGACAGGGTGCCTGGGTGGCTCAGTTGGTTGAGCGTCCGACTTTGGCTCAGGTCATGATCTCATGGTTCATGAGTTTGAGCCCTGCATCAGGCTCTCTGCTGTCAGCGTAGAGACTGCTTTGGATCCTCTGTTCCCCTCTCTCTCTGCCCCACCTCACTCGCTCAAGCTCTCCTTCTCAAAAATAAACATTAAAAAAATTGAGGCCAAAAAAAAAGAATTAAAAACCTGACTTTAAATGTCTCAACTTTCAGATTGGTAAAAAGTAAAAAACCTGTGAGAAAACAGACACTCTCATTGGTGTGAGTATAAAATTGGCGTACAACCCTTATGGAATGAATGTGATGATGTAACAAAAGTATGTTTACACAGCAATCTTACTTGTAGGAACTTACCCTTAAGATATACTTCCTAGAGTACAAAAATACATACATGTAAGGTTATTCATGGTAGCGCTGTTTGTAACTGCAAAATACTGAAGACTATCTATATGCCAACACGTTGGAGAGTGGCTGAATAAACTAGAGCTCATCCAGGTGAGGAGTAAAGCACATACGTTTTGTATATGAAAGAAAGTAAAATAACATGTTTGTTCTGCTATTCTAGAAAAAACTCAGAAAGGATAAACCAGATAGAGTTTCATGAAATTACTTAATCTACTGGGGATGGGTAAGAAAGAAGTAAAAAAAGAAAAAACTGGGACGGGGCACTTATAAGTGTGTGGATGTTTTTGTACAATTGTGACTTTTGGAACCATGTTCATGTTTTGCATATTAAAAAACAGTATCAACAAGGATGGAGGAAACATTCTAAAAAGGAATACAAATAAAAGCAAATTAACCTTATTGTTATTTCAAACGAGTAACATAATCACAGAGGAGGGGAAAAAACTCAACTCATGCAATTTTTGACATCTTAAATTTCTACGTTCCATCCAAACTCTGCACACACATTTTGAATAAGTACTAGTCTTTAGAGCAGCATTTTTCAAACTCAGGTCACAACCCGTATGTGGACCATGGAAATGGTTATGTATGTTGTAACCAACGTAAAACAAAAAACAACTGAACATCACACGTAATACGGTGCTGTATTATTTGCTTCAGATGCCTATATATGTGTGTACCTGTATATATATACACCTATGTGTATATGAATATGAATTTGAAATAAGAGTATGTATACAGAGAGAAAACTATAAAGATTTTTTCTTATTGTGGATTGTAGTAAAAAAATAAAAGTTTCAAAGCTACTACTTTAGACCTGCATATAATATAAATCTACTTCTCTTTTGCCTGAAGCTAGTAATCATTCTTGTCTTCTCTTTCCAGTTTCTAATATTGTTGCTCCAGACCGTCTTGGTCATTCTTATGTCACAGAGATACAATTCACTCTCTTAAAGTAGATTCGAGATGTGGTCTGAGCAGTGGGATTAATTCCTTCCCTTAATCTAGACATTAGGTTTTTACCAATGTAATCTTATGTTATATTGGCTTTTTTTGGCAACTGTATGTATCTGTTAATGATAATTAAATAACATAATTACGTTTCTAAAACAATTTTTTTTTTTGAGAGACAGAGAGGGAGGGAGGGAGGGAGGAAAGGAAGCAGGGAGGAAGGGAGAGAGAGAGAGAGGACATGCTTGAGTGCAAGTGTGCACCAGGGAGGGGCAGAAGGAGAGGGAGAGAGAGAATCCTAAGCAGGCAGGGCTCCATCTTATGACCGTGAGATCATGACCTGACTGAGCCACCCAGGTGTCCTGAAAACAAATTCTTAATCTAGAATCTTGCACTTGAAGAACTGGTTTGGTTTTTTTTTTTTTTTTAATTTTTTTTTCAACGTTTATTTATTTTTGGGACAGAGAGAGACAGAGCATGAACGGGGGAGGGGCAGAGAGAGAGGGAGACTCAGAATGGGAAGCAGGCTCCAGGCTCTGAGCCATCAGCCCAGAGCCCGACGCGGGGCTCGAACTCACGGACTGCGAGATCGTGACCTGGCTGAAGTCGGACGCTTAACCGACTGCGCCACCCAGGCGCCCCCTGGTTTGGTTTTAAACTCAAGTTCAGAAATTCTGTAATTATCACCAACAACTGACAGTCTGTTTCCCCGGACAGCTATGATCCTTCAAAGTACTTGTTCTCCCACCCATTAGGGTATTTCTCCCCTAACGTTCTGTCACTTGCAAAGGTGATGAGCTGGCTTTTCTGTTTTTCAGGTGAACTGCTGGTAAAAATACCAAACCAGCTGAGACCAAGTAAGAGTGCTGTAAGAACTTCCTCTGAGTATAAATCAATCACTACAAAGCTGGGTTGTTCTAAGAAAAACTTATCTTGAATTATCAACTAATCCCCATTTCTCCAATCTTACAAAAGCATATCATAAGGACTCTGTTAAAGATCTCATTGGAGTCAAGACATAAAAGCTAGGTTTCAAGAATTTACAAGCTTAAAACAAAATAACAGATACACAATGACTATAAGGAAAGATACAGTATTTCTCATGAACGTAGCCCCTTCTCTGCATGTGCGCATCTCAGGCATTGTTTATTTGATTACGAATTAAGGTGTTACTATTTAAGTGATCTTTGCTAGGATACAGGCTACAACAAAATATTTTCTTTCCACACAGAGCTCTTATTTTATAAGGTCTACAACTAGAATCTACGGAATTTATTTACAACTATTTGCCTGGAATTTATAGACAGAGAAGCCAAGTGGCTCGTCAACACCTGGTTGGATCCGCTTCAGGATCAAATGTGTTAAAATAGTAACACGGGATGTATTTTGAAGTTCAAATCTAAAACTAGATGTATTTAGGAAAAAAAGAAATAAGCATAAATGTATACAACACATACTTGGTAATATAAAATTTCTTAAGATCTCAAAATCAGTTTATTGGTATTCATTTAGGATCCCTCATTTAATTGAGAAAAGGGCTAGCATAGGAGCCAAGTGGAAAAAAAAAATTTAACCATTCACTGAAAAACAAATACCTTAGGCTAATAACAAGAAAGAATATTAGAAGTTTGAAATTTATTAAACTCTCAAGTAAGCTTACAAAGACTTATGGAATTGCTCTTCCTGGAGATATTGAGCATGGAGACAGTTTCTACATATAAAAAAATGGTTTGGGGGGCGCCTGGGTGGCGCAGTCGGTTGAGCGTCCGACTTCAGCCAGGTCACGATCTCGCGGTCCGTGAGTTCGAGCCCCGCGTCGGGCTCGGGGCTGATGGCTCAGAGCCTGGAGCCTGCTTCCGATTCTGTGTCTCCCTCTCTCTCTGCCCCTCCCCCGTTCATGCTCTGTCTCTCTCTGTCCCAAAAATAAATAAATGTTGAAAAAAAAAAAAAAAAAGGTCCGGGTCCATGATAGAGGCAAAGCAACCTCTATAGCTGAACACAGAAACTATAGTAAGGTGTCCCTAAAATTAGGGAGTATCAGCAAAGTGTCACGCTGCAATAAGGATTACATTAATAAACAGTTATTTACTAAGTACCATGGCGTGAGAAATGGTCTGCAAATGTGATGCTAGGTAGATAAATAGTGTAGTGTGTCAGAACTGACAAACTAGAAGTGCTATAATCCTATCAAATATTCCAAACTTTTTAACATATAAAGCAGCAGCTGGCATGGTTTACAAAAACAGAAGCAAAAAAGAAAAAAAAAATTGTTTATCCAGGACTGTTCAGAGTAAAAAGTTCTCTTATTCTGTACGATAAACTTCAACTTGAGAAGTAACTCAAGATGAAGAGAAGTAACCTAGACGGTCCTGAATTGAGCAGCTAATTGGTCTTCCGACATCTTTTCATCTGCAACTACCTAAAGCTTCCTGACATCTTTGATTCTGAATCTTTTAACTATTAAGTTCCATACCTGTAGGAAGGCCTCCTTGAAAGAATTTCTCTTCGTTTTTGGGAATCAGTTACACTATCCACTGACTCCTGTGAATCTTCACTTTCTGCAATAGTTGAAATCTGAAAACAAAGAAGAACTTTATCTTGATAATCGAATTTAGTTCCCATAAAGTTTTTATGAACTTTAAGAAAAATCAAATATAAAACGATGTACATAAACCTTGCACATGCTTCAGTAGAAAAAAATCAATTTTTATGGGAGACAACCACACCAATCACATTCTTCTCCCCTTTACTTATCCTATAGAAGTCAGTTAGTCCTAAGATTTTTTTGGTCAAAACCAAACTTTTGTGATATACAAATTCAGCTTCATCTCTTCCAGGACTTCATGTAACCAATCTTGAACGCATCAATATTACTGTCAGTTGTTTTCTTACAATTGTTAGAACAAAACTACCAAGTGAAATAAGACTTCTGACATGAAGAAAAGAATAAATGACTAAATATTTGGTCATAAGTCTATACAATGACATACAAGTATTATCCTTTACTGTTAAACACTTGTGACTATATTTATAACTGCACAAATAAGATTGGTGATCCCCCAGATGGTTGTTTCTAGCAACTTAGTCTACATATAGACCTTCAAAGTTTTTACTATGCAAAAACTCAAGGTAAAGAACTGTGTATTTCTGGAAAGTATCCCTGGACTGAAAAGTAATGAAGTTGAACAAAGATTTTACATGGGATAATAATAATGATAATGGTAACAGCAACTAGCATTTATTGAGAACTTACTATGTGCCAGGTACAATGGTAAAACACACAATGGTAAAGTATTATATTAATACTCACTAATACAATAACATCAGGTACTAGCTAAGTACAGTATTTAAACCCATTTCATAGATAGAAGAACTCAAGGTACAAAGAGGTTAAGTAACTCACCCAAGTCACAAAGCTAGGAAGTAGTGGAGCCACTGTCAATAGTTGGCATCTCAGTTTTAGACATCCTTACCAGCATCAAAATCCTGTTGGTTCCAATCTCAAACCAGTTTTGTCAGAAGCAGCAACCCAGAGGTGTTTTTAGACCACTCTCAGACTACAGTTCACTCGCCTAGTAGGTAAGCCTGTCTGTCAAGATGATATAGCCGAGCTTCTCTAGTCTGCTTCATTCAGCTTCCCTTCTCATCAGCAGGGGCCTCCTGCTCCTTCCTGAACTAGGTGTGCATGATGCTATCAGAGTGAGAATTCGGTTTAATGAAGGCAAGAGTCTGTGTGGCTCAGCTCCATGTCAAAATTTAGGGCAATTGCAACAAGAAAAAACATATTCAGAGGAACCTGACAAATCCCACAGGTACTCTGTATGTGGTCTGGGCCTATGGGTTTTGGAGAGTGGGGGCTCATCTTGACAGGGCACTTTGTAATAGGCACTCACTCTCAAATGAAATTAGGTAAATGTAGTAATTTTTCACAAAATTTATCTACAATAAAGTAATGTGCCCCATCCAAACACTTTCAAATGTAAGAACTTTAAAGACCTACACATTAACAGGCAACATTTAACGAATCCAGAAATGACAGATAAAAAGCTGTGTCAGAGGCTGAATTTAGTCTGTGATTCTCTGCAGAGTAATAATGCTACAGTTACAGCACAGAGAACACTCCCACTATATCTGTAGCTGCTGTAACTAGCCCGCTCAGCATAGTCTCTGCACAGACCTTCTCAGATACACAGCAGATGAGGAGCTATGAAAAGACCTTAGCAGAGTGTCAGGATTTCCAGGAATAACAAGACTCAACTCAAAGTGGACAGTACTATCCCAAGTGTTTACCTTCATTAATACTTCTCGGAACCTCAGTTCCTCTGTTCTTTCTGCCTCCTTTGCATGACCCTCATCCTTAAAACCTTCTTGTAAGGACAGATAGTGACTTAGGCATACTCTTCGAAGTTGAAAGTCATTAAAACAACAGTTTTAAAACATACTGTATAAACCACCCATAAGGGAAGTTGTGAAATGAAATAAATTAATGCTGCTTTTTAACATGTGACCTTTAATCCTAACACCCCCCCCCCCCCAAACTCAGTGGTTCTATTGCTCTTAGCAGGAAAAAAGCCTCCCTTCCTCTGATCTGTAAGATTTTGTCAATTGAGTCAAAAGGAAATTAACTTATCACTATGTAGTGATTACAACCATTTTAATGTAAAGGGAGTTCAGAATTACTCAATAAAAATAATAACAACAAGTGTTAACATTTCGTCTTTGGGAATACTATCCAGGGAGAACTTAAGAGCTATGAAGTCAATTCCTACGGACTATCTACCAAAACAAACAAAAACAAAAACAAAAATCCCAAACACACATTGGATCCACATTTCTGAGACTAATACAAATCATGTCAAAACTCCTTTTTATAAGTAAAAGCTATTAATTATAGTTTAATATATATTTAATAGGTTATTAAAAATAACCATATGAAAAATTATATTCCAAACTACCACTACCACATTCCAATGATAGAGACCCTTCCTCTGGCCCTTACCTCTTATCACCTCTCTTATTAGCCCTTTCCTCAGATCCTTATATAGGTCTTTAACCTTGGCCACTTAGAAGTTGAGACATTTTCAAAAAGTCAAACCACCATGTGTAGATGTAAAGTTTTAGATCTGTATTCCTCAACTTTCTTTAGTTTATTAAAAACCTGCACCTCCTATTAGTAAGAGGGGAAAATCTTCCTATTTTGAAGTTATTTGAAATTTTAAAATGAAACATACAGTGCCAAAACCAAATCAGATGCTTTTTCAAATAACTATTAAATTAAATTATTATTAAATGTAATTGAATATGCTTAAGAAATCATTTAATATTTCATAACAGTGACTCAAACATCTGATTCTAAGCTTGGGCTTTTTAAAACATGATTTAACATTTGGCATTGTTGAAAAAGAGGACTCATGAAAAAGTAAGTGCATTTTTGGCTGGGCTTACTAAATACTAAATCAGTTTTCATTTTCATCTATCAATTATACAAACTTTTGATGAGATTTACCTAGTATATTTTCATCTCCCTGGCTCTCAGTTATTGTATGCTAATAATAGGTGTTACAATGTTATATTTATTTTAACAAATAAGTGCAGCAACTACTGAAACTCTAGAAGACACCTGAATAGTTTAGAGAATTCTATTTACAGGGTCTAAAAGTATATAGATGTTGAGTTTTTAGGTGACAAATTTATATTGTTTGCAGTTTAAAAAAAAAAAAAAACTATGAATACATTTCCAAACTTCTTTCCAAATGGTCTCTCCACGGCACGACTTTCTTTCAAAAACGTCACTTTATCCCAGGATAGTTGAAAGGGATTTCTTTTTTTCAAAAATATGTTAGGTAATATATCCCTTGCAAATCCTTGCTTACCATCACCGAAAAGATCAGAAACTCTGGAACATTTGTCTCATAAAAAACAAACCAGCAATTCATCCTTATGTTAGATAACTCTTAAGTACTTTGCTGCATGAGAGCCACTGAATCCCTGTGTTGCACAAAAGGTTATTATTGTTCCCATCATATTATAAAGTATTGTGAAGATTTTATCACGTTTTCATCTAACCACTCTCCCTCTTGCTCTCTATTGGAGCACATCTTTTTACTATTCCTTGATATGTAAAACATATTCTTACTCCTAAGCCTTCAGACTTGCTTTTACTATTTGCATGGTTTAGCATTCTGCACTGGCTTCTGGTTTCTGTTCACTGTGTTCCCTGACCACCCTACATAAAAGAGAACACCCTTCCCTCCGCATTATCTATCCCTTTCCCCTGCTTCAATCATCTTCCCAGCACTTATCCTCACCTGACATATTTTATTTTCTCATTGTCTCTCTTCGCTCAAATGTGATCTTCATGAGAATAGAGAAGTATTATTTGTTCACTGCTGTCTTTCATAGCACCTAAAACAGTGACTGGCACATAGCATGTGATCAATAAAAATTCAGTGAAAGAATGAATTTAATAATTTAAGGTAACATAATCCATAAATCCTGACATGTTTAAGCTGCAATGTATTAAAAATGCATTCAAAATTAACAAAGGGAAAGTGAAGATGCCACTGTTAACTTCTATCCATTTGCATAAATCCCATTATTTTGGGGGGATTCTGACATAATCTGTGAGACATGATAATATATATAAGGATAAAGGTAGGGCACTAATGTCAAGTCATAAATGAAACAGGAGTACAGCATAACTTCTAATATTTTTAGACTAAAAAATATAAAGAGATGCTAATATCTAACTCTCACATCAAGAGAAATGTGTCTTGTAGATTTTGAAAATGCTGTTCTACACTACTCATATTTTCCCATCTAGAAGTTTGAGGGACCATTTCTCTCCTTGTTTGAACATCTCTTCTGATGTACACTACTTCCTAATTACTAATATACTAATCACAGCTAACCAGCTGAAATGGCCATTGAAGTCTAATATATTCTCCCTGGTTATTTTCCTTTAAAGAAAAAAAATAAAATAAAAAATTTAAAGAAGTAAAAAAAAAAAAGTTTGTGTCTCTCTATTCGTAGAATTCAGGCTTTCAATTATAAGTATAGCCCACCTCAACGGAAAAATGTGCTCTTGAAAAGATGAATAAGTATTTCTATAAAGTTAATAGCCATACAACCCTCAGATCCAAATTATTACTGTCACAAAGATTAAAATTAAAAATATAATCAATAATTAAATATCACATATTATGACCAAAAATTATAATTTTAACAAATTTGGTAATTTTGGTGTATTCTTTATAACACACCAAACTCTTATTACAAGTGAAAAAGAAAAAGTGATGAATCTGTGTCTTCTGACTAGCAGGTCAGGTTCTTTCTACTGTTATCAAGAAGAAAACATGAGTGGGGAATTAGTAATGGCAAAGTATAGAAAATAGTAAGGTAGCATTCAATGAAATAAAAACTGAGACAAAAGATAGGAGACTACTGTTCAGTAGTGCGATTCCACAGAAATACCAAATACTTCGATTGTCACTGGGACAACACTGTCTCCATCTTGTTAACAAGTTCGGTCCCCAGTGTCTTTCATTATGGAAATTCATATACCTTGATTTTTTTTTTAAGTTTATTTATTTATTTTGAGAGAGAGAGAGTGAGAGAGCACGTGAGAGTGGGGGAAGGGGCAGAGAGAGGGAGTGAGAACATCCTAAACAGGCTCTGCGCTGTCAGTGTGAGCCTGATGCGGGGCTCAATCTTACCAACTGTGAGATCATGACCTGAGCCGAAATTATTAAGAGTCAGATGCTTAACCGACTGAGCCACCCAGGCGCCCCTCCCTTGATGTTTTCACATGAAAACATTTTTTCCCCCCACATAAGTGTCCAAGCAAACCAAAAGCACCAGAACAGAATGAAGTAGAGGTAGGGAACAGTGGCTAAATGACTCAATAGTATAATATGGCTGACTGGATCTAGTATGTCCTTTGAGGACATTAACAGAACGCTTCCAGAGCAGAGGAGGCACTTCTCCCTCTACAAATATCAATCAGTCTGGCTACCATACTCAAGGAAAACACAACAGCTCTCCTCCACAGGAAGATAGCAAGGATGGTCAGGAGCAATCAGAGATATACCATATAATAAATGGCTGAAGGAAAACAGACATTTGTTTAGTCTGGGCATTTTTGTAAAGTAGGAAGGGTGTGGGAGATAAGGGAGAGGGAGTGGTCTAACAGAAAAGGAATTAAATTTGCTTAACTAGTTTCTGAGGATGGAACTGGGACCACTAAATAGAAGTTTTAGAAAGGTATATTTTGGTTCACTACAGGAAGAACAGTTTAGCAATGACCCCTATTTATAAACTGTTTAACTCAGGAGACACAGCTTCCTTTCTCAAAGTAATGCTGGACTACCATTTGGAGGAGAGAAGAAAGGATACACAGGGAAATTAAGCAACACACTAAGGGCTGCGCAGGTTAACAAGTTTGGTCTAGACCTAGAAGATCTCTAAAATCTTTATGCAAACCTTAAACTGCATGTTTATAGAAGGAAAAAGACATAAAGAATAATTTCTCACCTTCCTTTCTAAAAATAGTTCTCTCCAAATCTAGGACCTAGGACTCACCTGAGTTCCGGAGAAAAGTCTTTTTAAGTCCTTACAGGAAGACTGTGAAGCAAAAAATATGAAATGGGAGGCTGGGGTTATGGCCTACTTGAATGAACGTTCAAGTCTTTTTTTTTCTTTCAATAAGCTCACTGCAAAGATGTATACTGCTCTAGGTTCCAGTTCAGCAGTCACCTGCGGAGCTCTAGGTGCCTTTATTCCCCATGGATTCAATCCAAAGGAACAAGGTCTCCAAAGAATTAGGTAACGTGCATAGTGTAATCCCTGACCCTTAAGGTGATCTTTCTGAATATATAATTATTTCAAAGTTATATACTCCAACTTACATGCCTAGACCTAGCTGGTTTTACAATGCTTTAAATGATCTCAAAATTCAGGTAATAGCTTAGGTAAGGTTATTAATTTTGACAAGGGTTTAGTTTTTTCCAATGGCACGTTTAGAAAATAATTACTAAGTTATTATTTTTGTATCTTAATTTTCCTGAACTAAGGTATATCAGGTTAGTCTTTCCCAAACATTTCCACTTTATCCCACGTAGTTAATGATTTCCCCAATCAATTCTTTTTCCTCCATATCTTAAGAAAAAGTCTTTTAATTAGGTCTGTTCTTGTGTATATATATATGTTCCTATACGTAAGGTGACTATACAGACGCAGCATATTCCTTACTGTAAAATGAAATAAACTCTGAACTAGATATGTATCTATTTTCATAACTACTGAAAGGAGAGAGATATGGCTATAAACGACAGTTACGAAAGTAGATGCAGAACTTTTTATACACATACCTGAACTGTCTGGACTTGTGGAGACTGAATAACTGATGGCTGGGCCGCCTGAATAACGCCATGGACTTGAACTGTCTGCCCATTGGGCAGCTGTACTAAAGTTACGGTGGGAGCAGATGATGTTGCATGAGCTGCTGGCATAGATACCTATGGTGTTGAACATGGAAAAAAATTACCATCACAGATAACCTCCTTCGAGGTAGTCATGCTCAATATGCACCAATTTTTTAGCAGGAAAAAGATGACCTTTTTGGTAGATAAGTATTTCACTGGTGTGAAAGAAACTAATGATTAAATTTAATATTCTTAAAAAAAAAAAAAAAAAAAAAAAAAGGACCATAAATGCCCCCTCCCTTTCAAATCCTTCCAAATGACAAAAAAACCAAAAAACTATTTTAATGCAGTATCAAAATTTGTAACACAGACTTCCTCTGAATACTAAATACACTTTAATTGTATGGTGCTTTACATTTTACATTTTCCTACCTGCTTTCATGTCCAGTTTCTCCTTTTGCTCTTCGAAGAAATCAAGACTGGGTAATAAGGATTATCTCCATTTTAGAGACAAAAACATCAAGTGCTCAAGAGATTAAGTAACTTACCCAAGGTCAAGAGATATGCTAGCTTTGAAGAAATATAGAAGTCTTCAGAATATTGTGTGTTAAATAAGCCATATTCTAAAATATACCTGCTCTCAACCTTAGGCAAAACTTCTCTAAGTCTAGAACAAATATACATCTTAAAATATACAGCATAGTTTTCTCTCTTTAACTACAAGCATGCCTTTCATTAGTGAGAAAGTATGAATACGTATTATAAACTCAAAGTTCCCACTCCCCCAAATCAAACTGGTATGATACTTGGTATTTTAAGGATTTATTTTCCTCTTGAAGGAATAAAAGCAGAATTGAGGGAATATAAGAGATACTAATTTTCTCCTGAGGCACAAAGGCAATTTTAATGAGTCAATATCCAGGTTCAAAGGGTTCTTATGTCATGTGTGTCTATTAGATGGTATTTACTGTTCCTATGTTTGAATACATTCAGGGATTCATTATTTTTTGTTCATTCACTAAACAGTTATTGGGGACCCAGGTGCCAAGGGTGGTGTCAGAACTGAAACTACAAACATGAAGAAAATAACTGGGGCTACATGTGTGAAGGCATCAGGAAAAGAACATAAATAAGTATAATCCAGAGAAATAATAAGGCTTGCCAAAAGAAAAATGAACACACTGAGGAGAGCTACCCACTGGCACCTAAGAGGAGGGGAGGCAAGGATGTGAATTTGAAACAAATATACATTAGGTATATTATGACTCCCTGGGACAGGGACAGACTTTCAGGGAGAGAGGGATGGAAAGCAGTCAGTACTACTAGACTGACCACCTAAGTGTGTTACTTTATGAACGTAGGAACCGGGAAGAGAGAACACCGTAACAAAGGAAGGTTGGGGCTAGATGAGCTAGTCATGAAAAGCCACCTATGTGTCACCTTAAAGAATGTGCATTTTTTCCTGAGACTGGGAAAGACACTGAAGAATTTTTGAACTCTGGAGTATCATGGTGAGGTCTGCATTTTAGATAGATCACTTCAGTGGCAGTATGAAAGATGTTCATTTCAGAGAAAGAAAAAAGTGGAGGTGAGGGGATTGAGAAAGATTATACAGTAGTTAAGGTGAGATGATAAAGCCAGAAGTAAAGCACTAGTGGTAGGGAGGGAGAATGAGAGAAGTGATTTAATGAAAATTCAGGAGGCAGACTAGAAAGGGCTTTACGAATGATTGGTTGAAGGAGGTGAGAGAGGAAATCAAGGATGACCCACATAATTCATGTTTCGGTAAAAATTGGTAAACTATGCCATCAACTCAAACAGAGAACACAAGAAGTAAGCTTTGGGGTGATTGGGGTGGTTGGGGGCGGGGCAAAGGGGGATGGTGGAATTGATCTGATATCCAAGAAAGTAGAGATTAAAACCATTAAGCACCCATGTTTGGACAGTTAGGAAGTCCCTCCTCATTAATCATTTTCTCTCTGACTGACATAAATCTTATCTAGTTTTACGTGGTCCTCAAAATGTGGTCCATGGACTGCCTCCATTAGCATTACACAGGATGCCTCTTTACAAAGTCAGAATCTCAGTGGACCCAAGGACACTTTCCCCTGCACTTAAGTTTGAGAATCACAGCTTAAGTTACTCAGAATATCTCCTCTTAGTTCCATACAAAAGCTCTTCTGATATTTGAAGCAATTATTATATCTTCTCTATTTTATAGAATAAACGTAGCAAGCTAACTCAATGAATAATCCCTATTCTACCCTGATCATTCTATATACTGGCTCCTCTCATCACAAGTTTACAAACAGTACAGATAGACAAAGTAAGATAAAAATCACTTCTGTTCCTACCATCCACAGCTAATCGCTGTTAATATTTTTTGCTGTAGATATATAGCTGTTTTTATAACATACTATCATGGAATCTATTTTATTTTTTGAATCCATTATAAATATCTTTCCATACCGGTAATAATTTTCTTTAGTGGTTATAATGGCTGCACAATAAAATCACACACTTTGTTTAATAAATTCATTATTAGATATTTAGGTTTTCAAATTTGCCTATTACAAAAAGATTCAATGATCATCCTTTTACTTCTTTAGTTAAATCCATAAAAATTTACATTCTCATAGTCAAAACCAAGATTATTTTTTTTCCTTTCCACTTTAAAAAATCTCTGTTAAATTCTCAAAGTAAAATGAGGCCTCTCATTATTGTTTTAGATTGATTTTCTTCCTTTACTAGTTGGGCTGAAATTTTTTCTGTTCCTTGACCACTATAATCATGGATTTGACAATTTTTATTATATTCTGATATTAAATATGACAATAAAAAATACTGGGTATTAGACTTATGAAAGGAAACTATGACAAAAATGTGAAACGTATGTGTTAAGGACATGGATGAGCAAATGAAAAACACTCTGTAATTAAGAATAAAAAAACCAAAAACTATACAAATGGGAAGAGAAAGAAAACTAGCTTTCCTAAAGCTCAAACATCATGTCATTCTGTTCTAGGTCAATCCTAGAGGACTGCCTGATGAGGATGACAAATCAAACATACGCATGTAATTTTGCTCCTTCCTAATCTCCAATTAAACTTCATAAAATTGACTCTTTTTACAGGCATAATCACATGAGCAAAGAATGAGAAAGGAGGCAACAGGAAGAGTTTTGGAGGCTGAAAAGATGGATGAATGGTACTAAAAAAGGCCAACTCATGAGGTAGATGCAGGGAAAGCCAGATTTGCACCACAAAATCCTTCAGAGATTCAGGATCTAAGTAAGTCACCCTGGAAGGTGGAGTAAAGGAGAGCTGAAAATAAGGAAGGCTGGTTGAAGGCTCTTTGAGAAGCAATTGGATCCCTTCTCCATAACTCCCTGTGGAAGAATAATTAATCTACCCCATGCTGACAGAAAAATGGAGATTTAATTTCTGGATAGGGAAAATTACACCAGACACTGCTGAAGGTGGGGTAACTAACTTTCAGTCTTCTTCTCTCACTTAGCTCCCAGGCCTTTACCCTGTAAGCAAGAGATTAGTAAAGCTTTCCCCGAGGAACTTAACCAACCACAAGGCGCTTGAATAAAGACTTGAAAGATACTGACATTGGGAAGGCCATAATCACCCTACACTGAAAGCTCACAACTTATAGGCATCAGGCCCCAAACATATCCAGAGCTTCTGGTACAGTTTTGCGGTCCCCTACTTTAAACCTGAGCAGACAAGCACAAATTATAAAACATCTGAGGAAAGCTTCTTCTAACATTAAAGATGGAGAGACCAAAACAAATTGAAGGGCAAAAATCTATATATACAGAGAAAAATCTATATGGGGAGAAGAAAACTTAAAACCTAATTAATATTCTCAGAAATGAACGAAAAGATTTCCTTTGTGAAACATAAACAGGATGCTATTAAAACACAAAAGGACAACAACAACAAAACACAAAAGGACTATTCAGAGAACAAAAGGAACTGTTGGAAACATGACAGCAGAAATAAAAAATTCAATAAATGGGTTGGAACACGAAACTGAAGAAATCTCCCAGAAAACAAAGCAAAAAGACAAAAAGAAAGAGGAAGGAAAAGAGAGTTAGAGAAACAATCCTATAGTGTAGCATCTAGATCACAAGGATCCTAGAGAAAAAAAAATCTTCAACCAAATAATTTACACTGCTCAGAATCAGAAGACATGAGTTCCACTATAAAAGGGAACACTGAGGGGCGCCTGGGTGGCGCAGTCGGTTGAGCGTCCGACTTCAGCCAGGTCACGATCTCGCGGTCCGTGAGTTCGAGCCCCGCGTCAGGCTCTGGGCTGATGGCTCGGAGCCTGGAGCCTGTTTCCGATTCTGTGTCTCCCTCTCTCTCTGCCCCTCCTCCGTTCATGCTTTGTCTCTCTCTGTCCCAAAAATAAATAAACGTTGAAAAAAAAAAAAA